GTGTTGTAGTACTAGTCCCTCAGGCTTGCAACCTAGGAATCATCCTGGATTCCTCCCTCACATCCAACCTGTTGCTCAGGCCTCTTGATTTCACCTTTGTAGCATCTCTCATATTTGCCTCCTCCTCTCTTCTGCCACTGCCACCAGTGCCAGGTGCAGGCCCTCATCACCTCACACCTGGTTACCTGCTGGTGGCCCAGCCTTCCTCAAGTCTCTCCTCACTCCAATCCGCCCTCCATTCTGCCATTACAGTGATTTTCCTAAAATGCAGAGGCCTGGTTATGTCACCTCTACCACTCAACAAACTCCAGTGGCTTCCTGTTGCCTCTAGGATCAAATACAGAACGCTCTGTTTGGCATTCAAAGCCCTTCCGACCTTTCCAGTCTTCTTACATCTTATTCCCCAACATGTACTACTGGATCCAGTGACATCGACCTCCTGGCTGTTCTACAATAAGACACTCATCTCTCTGCTCTGGGCGTTATCTCTGGTTGTCTCGAGTGATTGGAATGCTCTCCCTCCTTTGCTCTGACTACTGACCTCCCTGGCTTCCTATAAGTCCCAACTAAAATCCCTCTTCCCCAACCCATCTTAATTACAGTGCCTTCTCTCTGGTAACGATTTCCTATTTATTCAGTATATAGCTTCCTTTGTATGTATCTGGTTGCATGTTGGCTCCCCTATTAGGTTGTAAGCTCCTTCAGGGCAGGGACTATCTTTGCCTCTTTTCGTATGCTTAACAGTAGCTGGTACATAGCAGGCACATAATAAATGTTTATTGATTGACTGATTGACTTGCCAAACGAAAGGATTGGTTTAGATGATCAGCAAGGTCCTGCCAAACCCTGACATTCTTTGAATCTGTGTCCTCTAGTTGTCTGTTCTCTTTTTGGGCTACATCCCTAAGACCTCACTGCTAGGGTCAGATTATGGGAAGGAGAGAAAGGGCTTTTCAGAAGAACAGATCCTCCCTCAGAACAGGCTCGGCCAGTGGCCTAGGGGCTAGCTTCTGGCCTGGTGCTTGATGGGCTAGGCTGTGATAAAGATAAACCCCAAGGGCTCTGGCCCAGAGAAGACAAGATAAGCTAAAGCAATGGGAGAGAACTGATTGGCCTAGCAGAAGTTAAATGTATTCACTTACAAAAAAAATGCAGCTGTGGTATAGCTTAGCTGTATCAAACAGGTGGCCCACAACTCTACTGAGTATGGCCCAAACTAGCTGTTCAGTTGTTTTTCAGTCATGCCTGACTCTTTGTGACCCTATTTGGGACTTTCTTGGCAGATACTGCAGTGGTTTGCCATTTCCTTCTCCAGCTCATTTTACAGCTGAGGAAACTGAGGCAAACAGGGTTAAGTGACTTGCCCAGGGTCACAGTCTCTGAGGCCAGATTTGAACTCAGGAAGATGAGCCTTCCTGACTTCTGGGCTAGCATTCTATCCACTGTGCTTCCTGGCTGCCCTGGCCCAAACTAGATTAAAATGTAACATGAAAATGAATTATTTAACAAAATAAATGAAAATGCAATAAAACATAAATAATATTAATATGTAGTTTTCATATGTGAATATGAGACTTGTCAATATGTGACTTGTAGGGATCCTTACATATGCTTTAGTGGCCCCCATTTCTATCTGAATTTGGCATAGCTGAAAGAACAGAGAACTTGAAATAAGATCAGGGTTCCAGTCTCTGCTCTGCACTGACTGGGTGTGTGACCACAGGCAAGCCCCTTCACCTCTCTGGGTCTCAAGTTTCCTCATCTGTAAAATAAGTCAAACAAGAGAGCATGAGGTCCCTTACAGCTCTAGTTCTAGGATCTTATGAACCCGTCTCTGAGCCTCACTTGTTTCCTCTGTGAAACAGGGCTGATAGCCACCTTCGTGGCTACGTGGCATAGCAAATAAAGTGCTGGGGCCTGACGTCAGGAAAACTCCTCTTCCTCAGTTCACATTTGGTCTCAGACACTTCGTAGCTGTGTGACCTTGGGCAAGTAACTTAACCCTGTTTGCCTCAGTTTCCTCATCTGTAAAATGAATTAGGAAAGGAAATGACAAACCACTCTAGTATCTTTGCAGGAAGAGTTGGACACAACCGAAACGACGAACAACACGTATCTCAGTTGTAAGAAAAAAAACCCAGTACCTAAATGTGTTCCTTATGAAAAGTTTTGTGGAGAGGAATTCCTCTTTCCTCTTTGGAAAAGAGACACAAGAACGGAATAGTCACAGAGAAGGAAGCCACACAGCCTGGGATCCTGTCACCCAGCCAAAAGGAAGGGCATTGCTAGTCTTGAGTCTGGGGCCTCCTTCTGGGGCAAGGGGGAATCAGAGAATCACAAACTGAGAGCATGAAGGGACCTCAGACACCACCTAGCTCAGCCCCCTTATTTTACAAACAAGGAAACTGAGGTCAAGGAAGGGGAAGTGACTTAGCAAAGGCACACAGAGACTTTGGAAGAACTGTTATTCAAAGTTAGGTGCTGCAACTCCAAAACTTGTGTTTTCCACCTTACCATGATGAATTGGGTAATTTGGGACCAACAGGTGAGAAGGCCTTTCCAGGGGAATTCTTTATAGCTGCTATGGAGCAACCTCCTGACACAGTAAAGTAGTGAGGACAGAGAGGGTCTGATGTTTTGGTCTAGGGGAGTAATGTAGTAGACTCAGTCTCCAAATATAGCTTGTTGAGAGAATTCTCAAGAGTTTGTTTCTGTTCCAAGTGGAGCACGTCTGTCTGATTTTTTTTTTTTTGGAGGGGGTATGTCGGGTTGTCCCTAAAGATATGGCTTAGAATGGATTAGAGCATTAACGTTAATCAAGATTCATCCCCACCTTCTTCTCAAGCCAAATTATTTGCATTACAGTCTGATTTCTGTATATCAACTATCAGGCTGTAAGTTTAAACTGCAATCTGCCAAACTCTTCCCCTGTCTCCTGTTCTTCAGGGGTGTCCCATTACCCCCACGGTTTCTAAATGGCCTTGAAACCACTGCTCTGGATTCATAGCTTTGAACTAATCTCTCCTGTAGGTGGGAAGGTGTAGTAGAAAGATTAGTAGCTGAAAGCCTGGGCTCCAATTCCACCCAGTTCTGCTGCTAACTTAGGTTATGGAACTTCTCCAAACCTCAGTTTCTTCATCTGTAAAAGGGTATAATCCCAGCCCTGCCTACCCCACCAAGTAATTATGAAGATCAAATGAGATTATGGAAATAAGGGCACTGAAAACTGTAAAGTGGTGTGCAAATGAGAAGTACAATTACAATGTGAGATTCCTCACACAGAAACCACCAGGGGCAGGATCAAAGATTGTCCTCCAGTCTGGGAAGCTAACTCAACAGGACCGACTGGTAGACAAAGGAAACAAAGGTAGACAAAATGACCTCTTTTCTGTGACCAGGGATCTCCTTGCTTCCCTACTAGACCATTCTCTACTTGTTTAAAGCCTTTTAAAAGAGTTGCATTAGCCCAATGTAAATGACAAATAATTTGAAGCCTTGGCAACTGATGGGAAAAGTAGCAAAGGGGAAGTTTTTTTTAACAGGCCTTATCCCTAGTACACGTGTTAAGGGATGATGGGGTACACAGCTTTCAAGCATCCCTGAACAGCCAAAGTGACAGGGAAAGGAGGGAATTCTAAAACTCTAATTTGTACGCCTTCTGTAACAAGTAGCAAAGCCTTTCCTTCTCCTACAAATCAGGCTGCAGTGCAGAAGTATTTGTGTTAAAACATAAAAGATAAATTTTTGAAGCCTCAGCACCTTCCACATATAGCAGATGCTTAACCAATGTTTGTAAAATTGAATTAGGTACTTATTAACTTTGTGACTTTGGCCAAGTGATTGTGCTTCTCTGGGACTCAGTTTTCACATTTTCCAAACAAGGGGAGTTGGACTGTATCTTTCCAATGCCTTTCTAGCTCTAGCTAAAAAGATATACCTTGCACAGAAGCTAGGGGTTCCCTCAACAAGTCCTGCTCTCATTTTGAAAAAGCAAGCTCAACATTCATTTCATCACCCTTCTCTTCTAAGGGCAAAGGTCTTACCACCAATACCTATTTTATTTATGGTGAAACTCAAGCCCCCAAAAGGCAAGGCACTTTCTAATTAATCCCTGTGAAACAATCTGTGGGCCTAGAACCAGAATATGAATGGGCCTCCTCCTAACATAAGTTATAGGACCGAGGATTTGGAATTCCATTCAACAAGCATTTATCAGACATCTACAATATGCCAGGTATGTAACAGGCCTGCTAGGGTTGAAAACCAAGTAACGCTTCCGTCAAAAAACTTACAATCTACTGGGGAAGAGACAACCTATACGGTAGGCTGTACACCTTTAAATAAATACACCACAAATATATGCACACAATTTTTTTTTTTTGTAGATCAAGGGGGTTAGCAGCGATGTAATATTAAGAGCTGAGAGGCAGCTAGGTGGCAAAGTGGATAGAGCACTGGGCTTGGAATCAGGAAGAATCATCTTGAGTTCGAATCTGGCTTCAGATACTTTCTAGCTCTGTGACCCCGGACAAGTCACTTAACCTTGTTTATCTAAGTTCCTCATCTGTAAAATGAGCTGGAGAAGGAAATGGCAAATCACTCCAGTATCTCTGCTAAGAAAGCCCCAAATGCGGTCATGAGTCGGACCCAACTGAAAAACGACTCAACAAGAGGATGGAGGCTCCAAAGGGCACAACAAAAAGGCAGAGGGAGAGTGGGATAGGGGATACCAGAGGAACACCGGCAGAGGCCTCATCGATCATCTCTTCCAACCTTCTCATTTTACAGATTAGGAAACTGAGGCCCAGAAATGAAAAGCGGCTTGCCCAAAGCAGCCAGAGGCAGAGGTGGGGTCCGAACCCGGGCGCACTCCGAGGCCTCTCGTCGGGTTCACCTCAAAGCTCTCGAGGAGGGCTGGATGCGGAGCCCCCTCCTCCTCGCGCCAGCCCTGCCCAAGGCCCAACCCCAGGGGTGGGGGTCCCCTACCTTCCCCAACTCACTTGGCCGAGAGGGTGTTGATGGAGCCGGTGATCAGCATGAGCCCGGCCAGGAACAGCTGGTACTTGGTCCACGCCATGGTCGGGCTGTGCAAAGGCCGCTGCCCTGATGCTGCCGCCGGGGTCCGTGTGACTCCCGGGGCCGGGGGAATGGGGACTGCGTGCGGGGACCCCGGGGCTGGCCCAACGCACTTCCCTTCCGGGCCGGCGGTCACCTGACCCACAGGAGTCAGCTGCCCAGGAGCCCCGCCCCCTGCCTTACCCCACCCCCTCCTACCCCCGACCCAGAGTGCGCGCAGTCCCGCAGAGCGGAGAGTGAGGCTCGCGTCGCTCGCGCGCGCACGCGCGCCGCTCGGAATTCCAGCTCTCCCGGCTCCCCCCCACCCCCACCTCCGCCACCCTCCCCTAGCACGTCGTTTGTCTCTTAGCCCCATAGTCTGAGCACGTGCTCTTAACTCTGGTCTGCAGTCGTGGGGTGGGGTAGGAATCTCTTCCCTTTCCAAAGGGCTATATCATTCTGTGCTTATCTTCATCAGTCATTCAAACGGCAAGCATTTAGTATGGACTAAGAAGTGCAGTTTCTACCCGTTACAATCGCATAGTGCGAAACCCTGGTGAATAGATAGGGGACTATTTATGCCCATTTTACAGATGAGAAAACAAATTGTAGTTTCAGTCAATCAATAAACATTTATTAAGTGCCTACTGTGTGCCAGGCACTGTGTAATCGCTGGGGATACAAAGAGTCAGACAGTCCTTGGCCTCAAGGAGCTTACAATCTAAGGGATCAGATGTAAAATGTTCTATTTGGCATTTAAAGCCCCTCACAGAGGTGGAACTGTTGCATGTTACAGCAGGCAAACAAATAGGTATAAAGTAAGCCATGTACAGAATAGGTAAAAGAGGAGGAAAGCACCGGAAATAAAGCTTCCTGTAGAAGGTGGGATTTTGGTTGGCACTTAAAGGAAGCTTGGGAGGTCAGTAGTCAGAGGGGAGGAGGAAAGAGGGAGAGTTTCTCAAGTACAAACTTGATTTTCTTTCTTTTTTTTTTGGCCTTGGTAGTGGGCTGTTAGTAAATGTTTATGGAAGTGGATAGGCCCATCATAGACCTGCAGTAAGGAAGATCTGAGTTCACATATGACCTCAAACACTTACTAGATTCGTTAACATCTGCCTCAGTTTCCTCAAGTGTAAAATGGGGATGATGATACCATCTACCTTGCAGGGTTGTTGTGAGGATCAGATGAAGATATTTGTAAAGTGCTTATCATACTGCCTAGAGCATGGTGTTTAAAAAAATGCTTATTGCCTTCCTCCCAGAACTTTGTGTATATTCTCTCCCCCTCCCCCCCAATAAATGCTTGGATGAACTCATAGAGCTTCAACGGATCTGTTTGCCTGGAGTCATCCTGCCTGTTGCTCATGTGGTAGAAAAGTCCTGGAATTGTAGCCCTAGAGACATACTATGCCTCAGAAGTCATTTTAAAGACAAGGAAACTGAGACCCAGGAAGGTTATATAAATTGTCTGAGGTAGTACGGTGGGGGTGGGGGTGGGGGGCCGAGGGGTGGGGACAAAGGCACAATTTGAACCCAGTGCTTGGATTCTTTAAGACCAGGGTTCTTTGTCTTACTTGAAAATGTCTTGACCTATCTAGCTTTCTTATTACATAATCATGCTTCAAGTCTTTACTGCCAGACTTGGACCAGATTCTCTCTGGGACAGAGTCAGAAAACTCCCTTAAGAATCTGTTCAGTGACCTGGGATCTGTTCCAGCCCCAGTCCCATCGATTTTATTCCCTCTCTCCCCACCCCACCCCCAGCCTCAGCATAAATAGAGGAGAGAGGGCAGAGAGGAAGAGAAATGTGCCCATGTGCAGTTTTCTCTCCCCCCAAGAAAAGATGATGACAACTTATGTCAGAAATATATGGAAGTGGTACATCGGCTTACACGTGACCTGTGCATAGACAATGATACATATCCAGTCAGTTGTTGTCTTGTCCTTTCTGCCTTCACTACATTTCTCATCATTGTTCCCTTCTTTGTACTCTCACAAACACAACTCTGATGTAGGCTTTCAAATCACCCCATTCATGTCTGGACTACAGCTTTGTTGTTGGGTTGTTCAGTAGTGTTCCACTCTATGTGCTGCACCAGTTTTGCTCCTGAAATAAGACTGTGGGAACACTAGCTAGCCTGGCTATTGTTAGCCAAGATTAGACAGGGAACTATTTAGTCCAGCAAGCCCCAACTTCTACTAATGGAATTTTGGAATATTCCATCCTCTTCTATTCTATAAACATTTATTAAATACCTATTTATGTACAGAACACTTTTCCTGGCCTGAAGTGTATACAAAATTTAGATAAAACAACTATCCTTGCCCTCATAATGTTGTTCAGTCTTGTCAACTCTTCATGATTCCACCTGGGGTTTTCTTGACAAAGATACTGGCGTGGTTTGCCATTTCTTTATCCAATGTGTCCCCATTTTACAGATGAGGAACTGAGCAAATAGGGCTATGTGACTTGGCCAAAGTCACATAGCTAGTAAGTTTTTGAGGGCACATTTGAACTCAGATCTTACTGGCTCCAAGCCCATTGAATCCATCCTTCACTCTGCTGCCAAAGGAACTTTCCTAAAGTGTAGCTCTGACCATGTCCCTGCCCACTCAAATTCCCGTGGCTTTCTTTACCTCCAGGATCAGATGTAAACTGTTCTATTTGGCATTTAAAGTCCTTCACAGAGGTGGAACTAAGTTTGTAGAGTAGTAGGAAGAGGTTCAGCCAAGCTTCCTCCACAAAGATCCGGAAAACTCACTATACCAAGTCCTGGTCATGAAATCTAAGAAAAAAACCCTGAGTGATTTTTTCCTGCCTAGGTTTGCATAGGGAGACAGATAGAGAGGTATGCAGATACTGGGACGGGGTCTAGCCAGCAGAGCATTCCAGTGCAATCTCTCACAATCTCTCAGATTTTTCACAGAGGGGCCTAAATTTCAGGAACTGGTGCTACCTGGCAGCTCTATCACTCATATCCCAGTTCTGGGTCAGAGATTCAAAATGGACTAAGGAGGGAGAAGGCATCTAGGGCTGGTATTCCCTGGTGAGGAGTGGTCAAGGGGCTTAGGCTGTGTTCTTTGAAAGGAGCAATGGCTAAGTGGCTCCGACCCCAGGGGTTGAGTGTATGTGTGTGGGGGTGGGAGAATGGGGAGAAGGCAGGGTGCCTCAGTTCTAGCTTCCAGCTCAGTCTGCAGCCTGCAGCCTGCAGCAGAATAATCAGAGCAGAAATTCCAGACCAAAGGATAGCCTGCAGTTCTATCCTTTTGAACCAGCAGAGCTTTCCAGCTGACTAAGGGTGGTTGAGTCCAGGGACAGTCTGTTGGAACTCTGACTGAGCCAAGCTCACAGGCATATTACTCAGATCCAAATCCAGGTCAAGAACTTGCAGGGTTCAGACCAGGAGGATAACAATCAGACTTTGCCCTGGATCCATCCACTTAGGGAACACTGAAAGCTTGCTGTTCCCCAGAGTGAGCTGTCTTGGAAATCTTGGAATTGACACAACACTCAGTGCCTCCAAGAAAGTAGCAGTAGGACCAGCCCAGGCATCTCCTCTAGAAATGAACAGAGCTCAGCCCTAACATCAAGTCCAAAGTCAGGAAGTAGGATGGAAGAATAGCAAACAAAAAGAAATCTCAAACATAAAAAGCTATTATGGTGACAGGGACGCTCAAGATGGAAACACAGAAGAGAATGACTCCAAATCAACAAAAGCGAAGACTCAAAGTAAAACATAGGTTGGGTATAAATTCAACTAGAATTCCTGGGAGAGAGCTGAAGCAAAAATTTTTAAAAATAGTATTTTATTTTTTCCAATTACATATAAAGACCATTTTTAACATTTATTTAAAAAAAATTTGAGTTCCAAATTTTCTTCCTCCTTGCTTCTTCACCCTCCCTAAAAGGTTAAGCAATTTTATATAAGTTGTATATGGAAGCAAGAATTTTAAAAGGAGTTAAAACGTTTTTATAAATGAAATAGAGACTATAGAAAAAATGGGGAAAGAACTGAGAGCTCTGGAAGAAAGAATTGGAAAGGAAATTAACAGCTTGGCACAAGAGGTATAAAACCTTATCTACACCACAAACTCCTTGAAAATTAGAATGGACCAAACAGAAGCTAGTGCCTTCGTGAGAAACCAAGAAATATTAAAACAAAATGGAAAGACTGAAAGACTAGAAGAAAATTTAAGATTCCTCATAGCAAAAACAACTAATTTTAGAAAACAGATCACAGAGAGATAATTTAAGAATCATTGAACTACCTGAAAGCCACAACCGAAAAAAGAACTTGGATATCATATTTCAAGAAATAAAAGGAAACTGCCCAAATCTCTTAGAACCAGAGGGCAGAATGGAAATAGACTCTATTGATTACGTCCTGAAAGAAACTCCAAAATAAAAAGTAGGAACATTATAGCCAAAATCTGGAACTTCTAGGTCAAAGGAAAAAATACTGTAAGCAGCCCAAAAGAAAGAGTTCAAATACTGGGAAGCCACAGTCAGGGTCACACAGGATTTGGCATGTTCCACTGTAAATGAGTGGAGATTTGAAAATAGTATATTCCACAAGGTGAAGTACGACCAACCAAGAACATTTTACCCAGCAAAACTGATTGTAATCCTATAAGGGAAAAGAATTTTTACTGAAATAGAGGACTTCTAAACATTTCTTGTGGAAAGACCAAAGCTGTACAGAAACTTTGAAATGCGATGACCAACCATGATTCCAGAGGACCCATAATGAAATCTACCCACTTCCAGATTAAGAGGTGATGGACTCAGAATGCAAATGAAGACATATTTTTTTTGAACATGGTCAATGCAGGAATTTGTTTTGTATACATGTTTGTAACATGGGTTTTCTTTTTCTGTCTTTCTTTGATGGAGAGATGGAAGTGGGAGGGACAGAAAGGAGATTTTTTGTTGATTGAAAAAACACTTTGAAAAACAAAACAAAAACGAAAACCCCTCCACAACTTGTCCTCTTCCTACCTTTCAAGTCTTCTTATATTTTACTCCCTATCACTTAACTCTATAATCCAGCTATACTGACATTCTTTCTGTTCCTCAAGCATGACATTCCATCTTCTGATCCTGAGCGTTTTCATGGGCTGTCCAACATGCCTGGAATGCTTTCCCTCCTCATATCTGCCTCCTGATTTCCTGCAT